CATCCCTTTACGATCTCGTTTTCCTTTAATTTGGGACCTTCCAGTAATAGCTTCCGTCAATCATTTACAGAATCACTAATTGATTCTTTTCCGGATCTCCATTGCTTCTTCCTTTTTTAGCGCTAATCATTGATTCTTTTCCTTATGTTGCTTTTAGAGCTCCTCCCATTAATTGATTGTTTCATTAATCTATTCTTGACTGGTATGTCTTCTTGATTCCTTTGTTTTATTCCTTGTGATCCTGCACCAAATGTGATATATTATTTTTTATCATTCAAACTTATAATTAACAGAAAGATTGTGAGTTATTTTACATTTGGGACTATGATGCGGTACCTCGGGAGTGCCCATGTTGATTTCCTTTATTTGATGTATTGTTGTTGTTATTTTCTTAATTTGTAAGATTCTTGCTTTCTTCCGTGTTGTATTTGTTTCCTTTGATTCCGTGTTATTACCTTCCGCAAGTTCTTATCGTTTCACTTCCCTGTCATTTTACTTTATCATTATATCTTTTGCTTAGTTTCTTATTATTTTCCAGTAGGGCCCTGACCTGACCTCGTCACTACTCTACCAAGGTTAGGCTTGGCACTTACTGGGTACCGTTGTGGTGTACTCATATTATACTCTGCATATGTTTTGTGCAAATCCAGATACATCCTATCAGCCTCGATATTAGAGTATTGCATTGCTGCTCGGAGACTTCAAGGTACACCTGCCCGCGTCCGCAGGCCTCAGAGTCCCCTTCTATCCTGTTCCTTCCTTATTTCTTTACATTATTAGACAGTGATGTATAGGAGCGTCCCGAACTGTATCTAGAGCTTGTGACTTATATTTCACCGGATTTTGGAATTTGTACATGTGAGTAACATTTTTCATTTATATAGCTGTTGATGTTTGAGATTTAAGTTATTATTTCAGTTATTCCGTATATTTGTTAGGCTTACCTAGTCTTAGAGATTAGGTGCCGTCACAATATCCTACGGAGGGAAATTTGGATCGCAATAAAGATTGAACCCATAAAACTTAAATCCTAGATCTAGTCATGAACTAATGTGCATTAAAATCATAGGGTTTGGTTGCTGAGAATTAGCAGCAAGATCTAATTCATTTCTAGTTCAATATCCAACTACTCCTATTAGTTTTCAATATGTTTTTATATTATACTTGATAAATACTACTATGTTATATTTTCTTCTTTTTGGGGGGTGGGGTGGGGATCCAAATATAATTTCCAGTCACATGGGGATGGGATTCTAAGGATGAGACGAGAACAGAACGCTTTCACAGCAAAGAAACAAGCAAGATTACGTCCAGGCAACTATCATTGTGAATAAGATCCATAATTTAGAATATATTCCTCTGACCCACTTTTGTTTGTCTAAGAAAAAAAAAGCTAGTACTAACTTTGAAGGACCACCTGACCAAATTTATTGGATGACATTGTACTAAAATCCGGTACGATTTTTAAAAATAATTTTAGGTGTTTATTATTACAATTTAAAATACTATTTAAAAATTATATTTTGACTGTCTAAAAGCATCATCACAAACCGAATTGACTATAAAAATGACTTATGATAGCTAATTCTAGGGTAAATTAAAGGAGTAAAATATTTTGTACCTAGAAGATAGTAATAAGTTTTTCAACTGTTATGTGAACAATTTTGTTATAAAAAGTACAAAAAAGATGTGGCCCTATTTGGCGCAAAAGAGAGGCCTACTGTTCCTGGGGTATTTTTTTCTTCTTCTATACTTTAGCATAATGTTGTGTTTTTCTTTTCTCGAGCAGTGCATCTAATCTTCTGTAGAATTCAGAAGCAAATCTATGCCGATTTTACAATTAAAGGTTGTAGGACCTTCAAATTTTGTAGTTTTTCTCCAATGTTCACTTAAAAGTAATGATCAATTAAGAAAAGTTGCATTAAAAATCTTCTTTTCCTTCTTCTTCTTCTTCTTCTTCTTCTTCTTCTTCTTCTTCTTCTTCTTCTTCTTCTTCTTCTAATTTGGAGTAGGCAAGACCTTAAATAGCAATGGAGGATTATAAGTCAACACTTAAATAGTGTAAGATAGGATTGCAATATCTGAAACTGAATGCAACTTTAATTTCATGTAGGTACAATTATAATTCCACAGCCATCAAAATAGAACAAGTAGAAACCTATAGCAGTCCTATACCCCATGTTTAATTCGAATGGACAAAGTCTGCGTGCAGCTGGATGTGCTAATGTGCATTAAAATCATAGGGTTTGGTAGCTGAGAATTTGCAAGATCTAATTCATTTCTATTTCAACATCCAACTACTCCTATTAGTTTTCAATATTTTTATAATTTAATACTAATCTCTCTTCTTTTTTTGGGTTAGAGAATTGCATTATCGGGAATGGAAAAAAAATCCAAATTTAATTTCCAGCCACATGGGGATGGGATTATAATAAGGATGAGAAAATAAGAGAACGTTTCACAGCAAGAACACAAACAAGATTATGTCCCGGCAACGATCCATCCTTTAGAAAATATATTCATTTGTCCCACTTTTGTTTGTCTTAGAAAGTTAACTTTGAAGGACCACCTGACCAAATTTATTGGATGATATTCTACTTAAATCCTACGATATTAAAAAATAATTTTACGTGTTTATCTAACAATTTAAAATACTATTGAAAAATTAGCTTAAATTGTTCAATTAATTGATTAATATTGACGGCGAAATGTTGGACGTTGTCAACTAGCCTAACAAAACATAATACGTAGTATTCAAGTGGGCTCGCATTACATATATGTTGACAAACCGCAGTATAGCAACATATTTTCTTTGACCAAAGGAAAATGCCCTAAAAAGGAAAAAAAAAAAAAAAAAAAGTGAACCATCTTTATCAACTGAAGAGTCACCAGTTATATTGGAGCTTATCCCTTAATGGATCAAATTACGTACTATCGAATCATGTTAATTGGTTATAGTTAAGAGATAATTCGAGGTAACAGTGCAATAATTAACCATAGCTATATTATAAAAAGTTTATGTAATAGCACATGACAGGAATTCGTGATTATGAGCGACCAAATATGGTCATGCCGCGAAGCACATTCAGGATCTGAACTTTATGGTTTCAACCTTTACGTTTTTTTTAGTACTGAACCTAATATATTTTTAAAATTATGAGTTCATATTTCATTTATTGTATTTTTAGTATATTTTTTACATAAATTTATGCTTCCAATAAAAAATACTGAGTTTAGTTGAACCGATAACGGAACTCATCATCCGTCCCTGCATGCAGATCACCTCCACAAGAACAAGTGATTATGCAATGTCTACATGTTGATAACTCACTAAGTTCAATTGCACTAACATCATGGTACCACATCAAATTCCATTAATATGTAACAACCTTTTATATAAAAAATGTAATAACCATTATTTATAAAAGAAAGGACACAAAGTGAGGACCAACGAGCTAGACAACATGCATAGAGATAAAATAGCACGGTCTAGCCAGTTTTCGGACTGATCATTCAAAAATAGCCAGCGTTTTCCAAGTCATTGAATAATAGCCACAATTTTGCTGCAACAGATACCGGTCCAGCATAATATACTGGAGTTCGGTGCACCTATGTATGAACTTCTAGCATATTATGCTGGACCGATATGTTTTGCTGGCTCCAACATAATATACTGGAGACTGGAGCACCGGTGCTCCAAACTCCAGTATATTATGATGGACCGGTATATTATACTGGAACTCCAGTATAAAGACTGGAGTTCCAGTATATTATGCTGGAGTATTTTTAGAGATTTTGAACAGTATTTTCGTTCAGATTTATCTTTACACGAAAAGTGGCTAAATTTTAATTACTTTTGAAACTGTGTCTATTTTTGAATGACCACTTATAAATTTGGCTATTTTTGAATTTCTCTCATGCATAGACGACATCGTTATTACATGAAAATAATGTCGAGATCCATCCCTTATCAAGGCAATCATGCACATTGTATTGTGCTGTTTGTGCAGCAAACTTACAACTTCTAAGATACACAGATAATTTTGAGAAATGTATATTTTAGCCGCTCTCAAAAATAATAAATAGCCGACAAAATATATATTTTGGTATGTATGTATATTATATACATATAATATATATATATATATATATATTATTCACTTTTTTGCTAGCAAATATAACTAATTTTGGCTAATCGATCAATTTTGTATTTTGCCCGTAATAATTTCACTTCAGCTCAGTTAGAAGGTAGAACGATAACCACCTATAATTGTTATATTATTCTAGTTTTAGTATTTTCTTATTAGAGTTGATATATTGTGGATGCAAAATTGTGCACAGAAAGAAGAAAGAAGTGCAATAATAAACCCACTTGTGAACAAAATGCCAGACAGTTACATCAATTTAAACTACAAGCACGTGAGACATGAGCCGTTAATCCTGATGTTGACAACTGAGATGCACGCGTATAGCCTGTTTGGTCAAGCGGTAAAAATTAATTTATTTTAATTTTTTTTTTAAAAGTACTTTTAGTGAGAATCACTTTGTGTTTGACTAATTAGTTTTTTCTCTTTCAAAAGCTTGGCCAAAAGTGCTTTAGGCAAAAAATAAAGAAGCATTTTTGGCCAAAAAGAAGCTTGACCAAACAGGCTAGTAGCTACCAGTATGATTTTCGGGAACTGCAATTTTAACTTAATGTAGCACTAGTCATTTTTATTTTTACCTTTCACATAATAATTAGCCTCTTCATTTCAATTTATGTTAACCTGTTTGAGTGTGTACGAAATTTAAAAAAAAAATAAGACTTTTGAAATTTGTGATTCTAAATAAGCTTCTAATATATGTGTGATTATAGAAGTTTCTCGTTAAGGATAGAATTGTAAGTTTAAACTAAATTGTTTTCAAATTTAGAGAATTTATTTTTGGGAGGAATCAAAAAGAAAATAGAGCATTACTTGCATCTCTAAAGTTGAGGGTAGGTAAGACTCCATCTTGCAGATAATGAGATAAGTCACTCTCTCTGTGTAAACATCATCTGCCTCAACTTGGCTCAAGAGTCGAGACTTCAAGATAAATAAATAAAAATACTACTATCTTGTGATCTGCTACTTGCATCTAATGCCACATTTATTTCAGTGTTAGTACTTGTATTTCAACATTATCTTCTTCTTTCTATTTATAGTAAGACCATAAATATACCAGCCAGGGGATTGGCTAACGACCAAAGGGAGAAAGTGAAGGCTTAGTGGGGTTGAAGAATGGAGAAAGAAGATTTGAAATGGGAGCTAAATGAGGTGGAACTAGCAGAAGAAGAAGAAGAGTTGGTGGGTCTTCAACTAAGAAGCTCTAAAGCTACTAAAGAATTAACCAATGGGAAAATTCAGACAAATGGGCATTCAAATTCTTCCCCAAAGTTCACTAATGGAACAGAAAAATCTGATCTTGGTGATGTACAAGAAAGTTCAGAGGAGAAACTTTCAGATTCCAATTATGGGGTTGAAGTTGAAGAGGAAACAGAACCAAAAGAAGTGTCAGTTCAGCAAGTTTTAGCTTCAATTAATGGGGTTGAAGAGGGAACTGAAGCTCAAAAAGAGTCAAAACAGCATCTTGTGATATCAAGTAATGGAACAGAAAAATCTGATCTTGGTGAGGAACAAGAAAGGTCAGAGGAGCAGCTTTTAGCTAATAATGGGGTTGAAGTTGAAGAGGGAACTGAACCACAAGAAGTGTCAGTTCAGCAAGTTTTAGCTTCAAATAATGGGGTTGAAGAGGGAACTGAAGCTAAAGAAGAGTCAAAACAGCAGCTTGTTATTTTGACTAATGGGACTGAAATATCTGATCTTGATAATGAACAAGAAAGATCGGAGGAGCAGCTTTCAGATTCCAATAATGGGGTTGAAGTTGAAGAGGGAGCTGAACCAAAAGAAGAGTCTTTACAGCAGCTTGTAGCTTCAAATAATGGGGTTGAAGAGGGAACTGAAGCTAAAGAAGAGACAAAACAACAGTTTATGATATCAACTAATGGGACTGAAAAAATTGATCTTGATTATGAACAAGAAAGGTCAGAGGAGCAGCTTGCAGATTCCAATAATGGGGTTGAATCTGAAGAAGGAAAAGAACAAAAAGAAGTGTCAGTTCAGCAGGTTGTAGCTACAAATAATGGGGTTGAAGAGGAAACTGAAGCTAAAGAAAAGTCAAAACAGCATCTTGTGACATCAACTAATGGGACTGAAGAAGGGCCCTTCAAATCAGGCCATTCAGTTTATTATGACAAAGATGAAGGTATATACTTGTTACACCAACTGTTTGACCTTTTTTTGTCCTTAAATCTTTTATGAAATTCTCTCTTGACTCTGCTATTTTGAGATCTGTGTATGTACATGTCTTCTTCTGATTTTGTAGGGTAAAGTATACAGTGTTTAAGGGAGAGATAAATAAACTCCTTTGAACCCCACTCCTTCTATGTCTTACCCTACCTGTCTCAAACTATTTCTTTCTTTACTGCAAAATGGCCCCCTTTCTCTTGATACAGATGTTTGTTTGTTTATTTATTTGTTTGTGTGTATAAATATACACCATAAAGGTTTCACTCTGCTAAGGTTTATGGTATTGAGGTAAAATTTTCTCAAGGATAAGTCTGCTTTGCAATTTGAGGTTGTGCACATTTCAGTCTCTTGTTCTTCTTGCTTCTTGCTTTTGAGGTGATGGTCTTTGCATTTTCTTTAGACTTATGAAGTTGGAATGATTTTATTGCTTAGCTTTAGGTTTAATTCTAGACACATCTTTTACAGGTTATTTGCTTCTTTTTTCTTATTAATTTTGCCATATACCGTCTAATCTTCAACATCTTTGTTGTGTGGAATCTTTCTGAGATTAACTACCATCTAGATCCCTTAAAAAGGACACATTTTTCTGGGGAAATTTGAAGAATTCAGTATTCTACTATTCTTTTTAATGGTTAGACCTAAAAAGTTAATCCGTTTGTGATCAATGTTTGACTCAACCAATATTTTATATAAAGGAATACTGTAATAGCCCAGACCCCACTTGTGGGATTTATACTGGGTCGTTGTTGTTGTTGTTGTAAAGGAATACTGTAATAGATTAGGTGTGACTGACGAGTAGAATTAGCTAAGGCATGTTTGGAAAAGTTGATAATTTTTCATTTGGGCGAGTTCCATTGAGACCAAAAGAGCATTGTGTTAATGCCTCCAAAGCAGCTAAAAACCATCCAATGTGACAAGGACTCATGTTTGAAGATCCAAATCTGTAATCACTGCAAATGAGATAAGCGTTCTTACATTAAGACTATAGTTGTACAAAGTGTACATTTAACGGCAGCTCTGCAGACTCTTGCAGCTGGGGTGCTTGAGTGAAGTGTGAGTAAGCATTAGACTTTCTTTAACTGCGATACTTCCTTTTGGACATGTGATCAGATGCTGTCTACAGTCAAACATGTTCAACTTTATGGGATCCTTCAGTGACGTAGTATTTATATTCAGTTTTGCCGAATAAGATTTTGACTCAGCATTAGAAGTACTACCACTGCTTTGAACATGGTAGCAGGAACTGGATGTTATTTTCAAGTGACTGATTATTATGTTCTTGTAGGTATAGAAATCCACCAGTAGTCCACTACGAAGTGTTTAAAAATAACATCTACCCATGTTTTTTGAACCACATAAATGAATCATCCTTGTTCTCCTCATGCATTAGGCACAACAATGCAATTTTTGCAATCATATTTTCTGTTTGATTGAAGGAATATGGAAGTGTCGAGTCTGCAGTTGGACTTTTCAAGGCAAAAGCATAAGTATTGATTGGACAAAGATTCCTAGGGGCCACTTGCATAAGCTGATGAATTACCCAATGTTTGATCAGAGGGGACTTTTATTCAGTTTTGGAAGTGAAGGTTAGTTGACCCTTTGATTTTTAGGGAAACAACCATGACTGGTAGAAAAGTGATGTTGTCAATTAAGAGACGGTTTCTCTGGAAATTTGAGGAGTAGAGCAAGATCTCAGAATCTACTTTCAATGTGATGAATGGTCCTAATATCTGTAAATGCTACAAAATAAAGCTGCAAACAAATGTTATAAGTGAGTCCATTTTTCCCTTGCTCCATATGGTTTCAGGCTTACCTATACATTTGCGTCGTGATAGCCATTATTTTAGTAACTTTTGCACTGCAAAGGGTAGAAACATGGAATTGGGGATTAAAAAAAGTGGGTGTCTGGCTTACCGATAATAAAAAAGAAATTGGTGTCTGGCATACTGATAATGTGATATGGATGCCATGTTTCACACAAGAGCATTTAAGTTGCTGCATGGAGTATAAAAGTTTACGCTAGGATGAAGCGTACAAGTTGACATTGACAAAATCAAAAAGGGAAAAGAGAAAGAGCATAAAGAAAGAAATCATTTACCTGACCCCACTACATGGGGCAAGCGGGGTTATGGTTTCAGTTCTAAGGTCGTCGGTCTCCATGTATTCTGTTTCTCCAGTACTATGCTTTATCCTAAATGAATTTAGTTTTTCACTCCCAATTAAGTGATCAATTATGATATTAGTTTTCAGCTTAGGAAATACGATGAACTTCAGTTAAACTTCGGCGTTATAACAAGCTTTCTCTTGTCAATGGCAGAATTCTAAAAGTTTTCTTCCTGATTTATTGCTGAACTTGTTTTTCAAGCTGAGTTTCAGATTCACGTTTGAGCTACTGTCTAGATTTTGAGATTTGGAGAAGTCATTTGAAGTGAAGAGTTGATTTCTCTCATATGAATGCAGATAGTAACTTCACTTCTATACCTTCCATAAAGGAGAAGATCGATAAAAAATCAGGAGATGACGGAGTTCAGGAGAGTGCTGTTCTGGACATTCAACTTAATGGATATTTGAAGAGTGACAACTTATCAAATTCAGGTGCTCAGCCATCCAAATATCTTTCAGAAGATCACAGTGTAGTTCATAAGTCCACATCCATTGAAGAAATAGAAAGTGCAGACACTGACCTGATAAATGACAGTGACACTGATGTAAAAGATTATGATGTTGAGAATGTACTTCAGAAGCAGAATACACATGATCTTTATTGCCCTAATTGCAAGTCGTGCATTACTAGGAGGGTTATTCTTCGTAAAAGAAAACGAAAGATTCGAATTTCTGGTGATGATGTCAAGCGTAACAAACTCGAAGGTGTAGTTGACTACAAAGTGGATGCTAGTCATGCACAGGCAACTAGTGATCAAGTACGCGATCGAGCCGACACTTCTCTTGATGGTACTCCACAATTGGCAGCGGATGATTACCAGCCTGATAGAGAGCCAGAGATATTCAGATGCCTATCATGCTTCAGCTTTTTTATTCCAACAGGTACGGACCTTTTCATTACCTTGAAAGTCAACATAAAATCTGGTCTTTTTTTTTTTTGCCATCACACTGCAGTTTATGAGAAACTGTTTCATGTGCAGTGACATGAATATACCTTGCTCCTAATTTCTCTATGATCAAATGTCTTTGTATACTGTCATTTCAGAGTTATCCCTTGTTTGGTAGTCTAGCAGGATCACTAGCAGCTAAAATACGTCTGTAGTTTACTACTTTTGTTGGTAGCTATATAATGGAAATGACTTTATCTTCTTTCCTTCAGGACTCATGAAAACCGATTGAAACTTCTTTTTTTGGGGGGAAGGGTTGAGGGGAAGAATGAAGAATGGAGAAAAACTAAAGAAACTTGGGATAAGCTGATATACTGTTAAAATGAATTATACTCTTTTATTACTTGAAGAGTTTCAGAAACTTGTTATCATATCTTGTAATAGCAGATACTATTATATTATTGCAAGATCTTTGAATGACATAGCGAAGTTGGCGTTAGAAATATCTTTAAGTGGAAATTAAGATGTTTTTCTTTTTTGAGATGTCAAAGAAGAAATGATTTTTCTCCTTAACGCATGTGCTTATATATGTAAGACAGACTTCCCAATATTTTATAGTTTGCAAGAATTACCATTAAAAAAAAAGCTGTATTTTAGTCTCAGTTTGTTGTATTCTGTCGGGACAGACTGTGGTTGGTACTCAGCAAATAAGCTCTAACAAGTTCAAGATTGCATGTGACACTTTTGTTATTTGTGACTGAGGTCAAAGAAGAAAATAACCCTGTTTCCAAACTTTCAGGGAATGGATTCAAGCTGTTCCGATTTTTTGGAGAGAAAGGTGATAAACAAAATGTCAAAGGTGAACAGATACCTACGACGAACAAAAATTGGTTCTCCTCTATCTTTGCATCAGATAAGGGAAAAGCATCAGTTGAGAAAGGTACTTAGTTTTCTACTTCTATTTTTCTTTTTCCAGTTTTGTTTACCTAATGAGCATTATAAATCCCAACTCTACAAAGTAGAATCTTCCATTTTATTTTATTTTTGATAAGGATCTATCCACAAAGTTTTTTCAGTCATTCAGAAAAAAGGGGATATTATGTGAACTGCAAAAATGTACTAAGATGAACTTTCGTACAAGTGTGGTAAGTTTTAGAGCTATAGTTGATTGACTGTAAAGCAATACCTTCATATAGGAAACATTTCAATTGTAAAATAGAGATTTTGAAGTATTGGGGGAAAGGGGATGATGTAAATGACAGAGTCAGTGGTTGATTCTTTAGATGCGCTAAAGACATAGAAAAGGAGAATCCAGCTTATTTTTGTTTGCTTTTCTGTAGCTACAGAATAATACAAACCTTATGAAAGAAAAACCTTCTCGCATAAATGGTAATCTTTTTAGAGCTGATAACTCATGACTCTACTTCTGCCATTGTTAAAATAAATATCCAGAGTCGACAATGAAATAGTTATGAGGGTGTATTTTAGTTCCGTGTCACATATTGCATACATCCCATAGAAGCTAAAACTCCTAGCTAGAAAGAGGTTTCCAGGTAACATGCTCAGCGTAATGCAATAGGATGGGCTTGTGGTCAGTTCTGATCATTGCATTGCTTGGAGGGGGAGAATATCAGAAGTACACTTTTATAATGTAAAGAAACAGCTAAAGACTATCTTCATGTTGTTAAACTGATGGAGTTTCTCATGCAGGAAGTGGTATTGGGGCAAATGCAGTGAAAAATGATGCCAGAGTACTTACGCCATCAGATAATTTCAAAGATCAGAGTGCCAAGCCCTTAGTAATTAGGGAATCAGCCCCGCCTGCATATTCCAGCAGTGGAACTCAGGAAGCTGGAGGGAAAATTTTAGGATCAGAGAACCAAGATGCAAAAATGAAGGGGAAAATGGCGATTGATATAGTGGGTAAATCAGAGAATGCAACAAAGACTCAACCAGGTGCAGTAAAGATGTTCACCTTTGTTCTCATTACCATGAAGTAGTGATCTAATTGGAAACATGAAATAGCTGATGTAAAGTAAAATTTTGACTGTGAGTACGTAAAATGGGAAACTTCTGCTTTCCATAGGTAGTCAAAGAAATAGCCTTTGCTAGTGATCAAGTCCAAAAGCATCTTGGTGGTTCATAACTTGGATGAATAGACAAGTTTAGTGATCCAATTTTTCATCATGTCTAATTACTAATTTGCCCTCAGATCTTTCTGCTCCTTGGTGCATGTTCCAGCACCTTCTTCTTTATAACATTGTTTTCTCCTGTGCAGGAGTTTCTGTCTTCGACATCTTTGAAGAAGGGATCCGTAATCTGCCAGATGTTGCAGCCTCTTCTGAGAAAGTTCGAGGAAATGATAGGAATGATGAGCTGTTAAGAACTGCTGGCAGAATTCAAGTTAGTAATGGAAATCTTGCGCAGGAGAGTCTGCCAGCATCTCAACAAACTGGATCAAAGGTTCTGATAACTTCAACAAAGGAGGAGTCTCTAACTATTGAGAAATCAGGGACTGAGTTAAAATCTGATGTGATGATAACTTCAACAAAGGAGGAGTCTCTAACTATTGAGAAATCAGAGACTGAGTTCAAATCTGATATGACGTTACTAAATAAAGGTCCAGGTAGTGTTTCTAGTATGAAATTCTCTCTAGTAAGAAGAGTTAACTGAAAAACAATGTCTGTCTGGTCATGCTAACTTCAATTGAGAACATGTAATGCCTTGTCCTTTTAAAATTTTAAGAATCACCTCAACCTTCCTTATGGAAAAAAGAAAAAAGAAGATGATTTACCTCAACTTCCCTTGACTATTGCAGCGGGCAGTTGATAGTCCTTTAAGATAAATGTTATTTTCACATGCAGCTATTGTACTGAGATGCATATTGCAAATAGTTGTACTACTCATCGTTGCACTCTCTGGGTGCTGTTCTTTAATAATGTTTTCGTTACATTTTAAAAAATAAATTTGCTATCTTCACTCGGGGTGCATTTCCTTTAGGGGCAATGTTCGATTATCACCTGGCCCTACACTCCCGAAGAAAAAATTGGTTTCTCTTTGTTTTATATTTGGAAAACGAAAAAGATCCTCTTTTCTTTGTTGCTCATAAGACAAATTGAGAACAGGGACAGTACAAGAGGTTGATGATGTGTATCATATAACATTGATATAATCATAATGACCTGTTGATTCTAAAAATAATAATCATAACTGGATTCAGCTCAGACATGGCTTCATGTGAATGTGCAGATAATGAGTCCCTTCTGTCTTCGGCAACCACAGCTTTTGCACTCAATGGCTTAGATGGAAATGGGAAACCCAAGTTTTTGACAGAAATCCCTCAAGAACACGAGCAAAATATCAAAGCCATGCTTCCCTCTGAGTCTCCGGTGGAAAACAATGGCAATAATTTTCAACTTAGTAATAAAGGTATGTAGTTAAACCTCCTCCTAGTTCTGGTTAATGCAAGCTTATTTCAAACTGTTATACCTTTTGACTTCTGAAAGTTACTTGCATATTTATCAATACTGAGCTAAAAATTGGAGTAAGATCCGAACCCAGAAAGGAAGTTGTATTTTTTCCATTTATGAACTAAAACCATCTTTATCAAAAGATTTTCCTCAAATGCATATCAAACAAAGAGTTAGGTATAGAAAAATCCTGATTAAAGGGTAGCCGGTGTACAAAGCATCCCGCGTTTGTGTAGGGTCCGGGGAAGGGCCGCACCCCGAGAGGGTATGATGTAGGCAGCCTACCCTGATGCAAGCATCAGTGGGTGATTCCACAACTTGAACCGTGACCTATAGGTCACACGGAGACAATTTCACCATTGCTCCAAAGCTACCCTTCAGCAAAATCCCGATTGTTTACTCTGGAAAAAAGTTCCAGATTGGTTTGGCTGAAATAGGTAATCTCTTGAACAGTGTATAATTGGCACCTGAAGCTTTAATTTCCAATGCGCCTTAGTAGGAGGTTAGGTGTTAACCCGTTGTACTCTTGGAATTTTTTGTACTTAAAGAGCACCCTCATTTATCTGCAAACACTGGTTCTGAATCAAGTTGTCTTCAGCAGTATAGTGGTGTTAGCTCGAGAAATGTTTTTTGCCTTGTGCTGCCTTACTAATGTTTGATTTGATCGCTTTGGCATTTGTCATTACTTTGCTTCCATGTATTATGTCGCCCTTCCGTTGACAGATGGTTCGGATCCTTATGAAATTTCTCAACATACCATCACAAAGACCAAATTTGAGATCCACTCGAAGCAGCCTTTAAAAGTTGATAAGGATGCATTATTTTCATCGGTAAAGGATGCTTTATCAATTCACGATGCACCAGTTAACATCACCAACATTTCTGTGGAAGCAGCTGCAAATGGCATTGCAGGTAAAAACTAGGCTTTTCTTCATTCTAATATTCTACGGTGACTAAATAAATCTGGTTGCAATTAGGGATCAAATACTCTCAGAACACTTTTTTATTACCCTCTCCTGCATTTGTAAGCTTCCTAATAAGCTCTCCCCTAAAGATGTGTTGATGAAACAGTAAATAAAATGGTTGAAGCGCTATTAACCATGGAACCATTACTTTTTGTTTGTAAAATACATTAGGAAAAGTTGATCAATATTAAAAATGGAATGACCTGAGGTATCATTTTCTACCATACACCTGTCAACCAAAATGCTTGGGCTGCCAACCACAGCCTGTATTTAGATGCTGAACCTTCGCTCTCAGTACCTTGCTTAAAGAAGAAACTAGGCTTGTAGAATTATTGTGCTTTGTGTTGAATAATTTATGCTGAAGAGATATTGAATAAAGATGATAGTGTATATTCTCTGCAGTGCTTATTTGTAAAAGGGAGTTTTACGTAGCTTAATTTTCTTGATTCACTTGTGTGACAGGCAAGGATACTGTTATAACTGTGGAAGCAGGGCATGAAACTACAGAAACTTCACCAAATCTAGTTACTCAAATCCATTTTGTTGAACAACAAGGAACTGATGCTGCAGAAGGTTACAGAATTGAGATCATTAAAAGCATTATATTTGGGGGTTTAGCTGAGTCAATTACAAGCTTAAGTGTTGTATCATCTGCAGCTGGTGGCGACACAACTACATGTAAGAGTACAGATCTTACTATAATCTTTGGACGAGAGAGAAGAGTTCTTATCTTGTTTCAATCATCCATAACATAGTTAATTACTTAAGCTGATGCTTTATCTGAATTTTTGCAAGTTCTTATTCATTTATCCTCGTCTGGTGTAGCAATAGTCCCTTCAACAAGTTTAGCCAGGAAAATTATCTTTTTTATATGGATTAATAGTACAATTTGATTTTAGGCTAATTCAAAAATTTCTAAGTGACTTATGCAGTCAGTTACAATTTGATTATGCAATGGATGTATTCCATTTTCTTTAATATCTTGAAATTGCTTGAGGAAAAGACCACTTTTATAAAAAGCTCTGGCTCCCTACTTCATCTTTTAAACTTTCTGCTGGTTTTGATGGTATCGTCATGTCTTGCTGCAGTGAACATTTTAGTTCTGGGAATGGCTAATCTGATTGGTGGACTTTTCATCATTTTCCACAATGTAAGTTGGCTTTAGCATTTTGTGATCATAACGAATTATTTACGTAGAGAGACTGCTCTTCTTAAAATAATTAGCCACTAGCTACGGCGCATAAAAACCATGATAACTTGAAGCTATAGATGGCAGATGGGGGAAGCTGTATGTATCCACAGTTAGATGCCATGTTTTCTTGATCTTGTTTCATTAACTCAAATCAGTCAATCTGTTGGGTACTTATTATTCCTCATGCTTTCAGTTCAATTTACTCTATCTCTTGCTGACTTCATAAACTTGCAGATTTGGGAGTTGAAAAGAGATCGTTATGAGCAAGCCAGCAACCAGATAATGGAGAGACATGTAGATAGGTATCGACAACTACTAGGGCGGAGAGAAAACTTCACACTGCATGCCGTAGTTGCTGTACTATCATATATCATATTTGGACTAGTCCCTCCAATAGTCTTCGGCTTCTCATTCCGCAAGAGTGATGACAGGGAATTCAAACTTGTGGCAGTTGCTGCAGCTTCGCTTGCATGCATCTTAATACTGGCAATTGGAAAGGCTTATGTTCAGAGAGCACCCAAACCTTACTTCAAAACTATAGCTACTTACATTATTTTGGGGTTCACTGTTTCGGGTGTGTCTTATGCAGCAGGTATATTATTCAAGAGACTGCTGGAAAAGCTTGGGTTTTTCCAGCCAAGTTCAACAGTAAACCTGCTCCTACCGGAGATACCAGGCTCTGGAGGAGCCTGGGCGTCCTTATGATGAATACCTGTAAGGCTGTAACCTCCCAGAGTATCCTCTAGTTCTTTGTGATTTCCTTTGGCATTTTTGTTTAGCTTTAGCCTGTACACATACTCCTCCACTGTTATTTTGAGTTTAGTTGTCGGCGAATGGAAGAAATAGAAACCCTGATCTGACTGTAAAATGAAAGGGAATCTCAGATTTATAACATTTCTTTGAGTAAATTGAAATAAACTTTTTTACATAGTCAGCTCTTGCTTTATCAAATGATTGATATACAGTAGATTCCGTAATTCTTATGAAATAACCCCAACCAATCAACTAAGACTGCTCATAAGCCCTATCCTTCAAATCCTTTTGGTTTACCCTTGGAATCTTCTCCTTGGGATTATAAGTTTAGTTTTTGCCACTTAAAGACTTCAGAATTCCGGTCATTTCCTAGCGACAACTGCAGTAGCGGACGTTTAGCTTTTAGTTGTCAGATAGATATAGGGAAGACATAGGTGGAGTTAAAGCCTCAAAGTTCTTGTTTTTCCTTTACACTTGTTTTGCTATCGGGAAGACAAGTTATGGTTGAGCGTTATTCTCCTTCATGATCATTTTTCATGGTCTTTCGGAAACGAACCTCTCTACCTTTACAATGTAGGGATAAGGATTGCATACATACCACCCTTCCCAGATCCCACTTGTGAGAATATACTGGCTATGTTGTTCTTTTCATGGTACACAAATGAAGAGAAAATGGATAAGAGGATAATGTGGAAACTCATGCATCAATGTGACATTTATATGGCAGAAAATTTCACAGATAACAAAAAGTTGAGGGGGTTTACATATACTTAATTGGGGACGACGCGAGAACAATCAAAAAGGGAAAAGAAAACTTCCAAGTTAGTTGTCTGATGAATGTTAAGCTCATCGCCTGATTTAAGCACTACTGCTAAAATCTTAATTTGTCATCACGTGTAAAATCATTTTTATAACCAGTTCCTACATATTCTACTTCCTGTAATAAAATTGGTTAATACATATCAATCATTAAACTCATTTCTCTAATCAGATTCAGCTTCATCATCCAAACACAGGTCCATTGATTCCCGTCTATTAATATATTAAAAGACCATTGGAATGAGGAAGAAAATAACAAAAGATTGGACCAAATACATCTCCGAAAAATAATTATATAAAGTCTATGCAGATTCTGCATTATTTACATTTTAAGATTTAGTACCCAGAGAAATCACAGCAGCCAGACCTGATCAGGGTTTTTTTCAAAAGTAACTGTCAATAAATCGTTGGGAACATCCTCGTGAAAAGAGACTCCCTGACATGCATTACTCGTCTGAATATCATTTGATACATACCAAACTACAGAGGCACACGTCAGAGCAAGTCTTCAAGCAAAAATCCCTATGAGGCTTTGCTCATCCGCTGCTTGTAGTTATTGTTAATGCTTACGTACCAAAATTTAGAAACAATGGAAATAACTGACGGTTAAAGTTCTTTAATGCGGACACATCCCTTTCCATCACAACACTTTTTAACAGGAAACAAATAAAAACTTAAAACAAAAGGAACCACATCAAACCAAAATAATTCCTCGAGGAACTGGATGCACGACTATTTCCTGCAACTGTCCTCTGAAATCCAAAGTCAGTGTCAGAGATGCATTATGGGGCCTACTCATATGAAGGCGAAAAACAGTATACGAAGATTAACTTAGCATCTTCATCCATCATAGACAGGACGAAACCGTCCGATCACAAACTCTTGGCGCCTTCAGATTTCAGATCTTGTTTACTTTTACCTCTCTTCATTTTGGCTTTAACCCGAGACTTTGTCACAAGAGTCTGCACCGTGTTGGCAAAATTGCCAACTGCCATAATAATCAAAAGGACCCCACAGGTAACAACCTGCCACAACCGCATCATTTTAGAAACTGATTAGTCATTGATAGGAAGGGGCTGCCAGCACTCATAATAGCAGGATTTCTTTGGCATGGCAGTTTACACAAGATATATACTTGAACATTACAGAAGGGAAGACCTATTTTAGTTACTAATATTGTTGATTTCTGTACTCGAGTGTTCTATTTCCATAGAAGCAAACTAAGATAATTTGTTAAAAAGGTAAGTTAGAACTTCACCTTTCACAGTCTCAAACTATTTTATTAGAGAATCTCCTAACCAACTCGCAATATGTTATACAAACTGTCTTCTCTTTACCTCCGCACCAAGCAAACAATATAACAGATGTTGGAACAGAGGGAGTTTATATTACCTGCCACTCGGAAACAACACCAATGAATGCTGTTTTAAGCAGCAAGACTCCAACATATGCTTCAAATCCCTGACACCAAGAACAAACGGCATACAGTCATTTGGGACCAGCCTCAAAAGATAGAACTACATCGGTAAATTTCATGGAATGCGTCTATGTGCACAGGGATAACCAATTAAACTGACCTTTTCTTCTGATAAGTATACTGAACCATTGTCGAATGTACTCAAGTCTAGAAAAGAAATATCATCCACAAAAGTTGATTTGCTTAAGTCATAAAAGGCACTCAAGTCTATTGTGACCCATCTAATGTTACAAGTTGCTATAGCTCAGATGACATTCTGTTTTTGCTCCAATATTCAGAAACTTTGCCCAAAACACACAGGAACTCACTATGAGTTAAAAAGAGATAAAAGGATCCTTGATAGACATTAGTTACCTTGAACCAGACAGTCACTAAGAGGAGCCATTGACATGCATTTCACTATGTACATCAAAATTATGCAAAATTACAGTAGCATTTTCTGCTCTTGAACAACTTAACATCATTCAACTTGACTTAAATCTAAAGGCCCAGTCTCTTCAACAAGAGCAAAATTTGTAGAGAAAAGTAGTTGCAATTAGTAGAAAGCCAAATTGAACTCAGTATACCTGCAAGATAAATAGTACAGGGAAGAGCAACAATAATTGACCATCTACTCCAGCAGTCTCTCCCCATACAACATCCATTCTCCTGGCCTGAAATCAGAATTCAGTAGAATGTTCCACAATTAGGGTAGCTTATCGGACGATAGGAAGTGAAAATATCGTTTTTCTTTATTCAACCACAAGGCAAAGCTCATTCCCTCAATAGGAGGGAGCGAAAATAGTGACCTTGACGTCAATCCTCAGAGCTTTTGGTCATTAATCCCACCCAAGGGGCAGAGAAATATATAAACCTGTCTGCACTAGATACCCTGGAGTAACCCAAAACCATCTTGGTTTTTATTGTTAAAATTTATTTGACTTATAAAAAGGAATAGTCTATCTGCACAGGATTAGTGAAGCTTCACAAGATAGAAGGGCTTTTCAGTAAAACTAATGATTCTGCTGTTTGTGTACCTTTCCCAATGCAATGCGAGTGTACAGTCTTTGCCTTTGATATCTATTCTGAAGCAGCATAGCAACACCTTGCATGATAGCCCATTTCAGGAACAGTTGCACACCCTTCTGCAAAGGATAGTACAATACATTTAGGAGTATTATAAATCTTAAACGTTACAGAAAAGTGCACTTTTTGTTGATAAGTAGCTAAATAAATATGCATGTAGTATTTAAACGAACAAAGACCTGCTTCTGTGCACAGCTAGGTTCTCTTTCTATTTCCCAGGTAAGACTTATAAGTGCCATAGCCATAGCACAATAGTGATGTTTAATCCACCTGCAACAGCACAACCATAGTTTCTAATTAATCAACTGTTTCTGTGTTCAAAATAGATGACACCAGTTAAAAAAACCTTTAGAATCATTAAAATTGCTCTGCTTCTACAGTTACTTAAACGACAAAGATGAGGGTTTTACTTGACAAACATAAAACAAAGAACATATGTTAAATTTACATAAGGCAATAGGGAATGTGTTCAATTACCATGGACGAATATCACTTCCATTCGCTCTCAAAATGTTCTCTCGCAGAGCCAAACCTGTGTAGAGGTAAAGCAACCACGCCTGAAGACGTGGAGGAGCTCAGCGTACTCGTTTGTCAAATGTAAATTTTTCACCAAAGGAGAACCAAATAAATAGGAAAACAAAACCACAAAGGATATCAGGTTGAGTGAGAAAGGCCTCTTTTTAAACGTATTACCTGGTAAAGTTGGACTGGCAACGCTGGTAAACATCCATCCCAAATATAAGACCTCAAGACTAGTAGCAAAGATGGGAAAAGAAGGAATAGATATGCTGTCCTGTCCTGTCAAGAGAGATCGGATGTAGTAATTACAAGAAAGAGGTTTCCACATAACATATGTTTTTTATGAATCCTAAGTCATTTTTGCATTTTAACTGGTGGGAATGGTGGAACAATTTCAAGTTCACTACTTCTAAGTTCTATCAGAAGCAGCACTATCTTTCTTCCCTTATGACAAAAGTGTCAACCATTGGAAAGAACTTGAACAAATAACTTGAAAAGAGTTCAAATATCATGCAGTAACAAGCACGACACACATGAAAAAGTGACGATACACATGAAAATAAGGTTCTCAAAATTTGGGCTTGCGTCAAAAAATATCAAGTTCTGACAAACATCGTATAGTTCACCATCTTCTCTTTTTTGCTTTTCTTATTTATTCTTGACAAGTAGATAGAGCATGCAAATCATGCTCACTATCCTTCTTTTTCCAACTGACAAGTAGATAGTACATGCAAACCAAAATCATTTAACAGTAATACAGGTTCTCAAAAGAGCATCAATTTGTTAGATTGATTTATCAACTGCTCCTAAGCTGGAGAAACTAATCACCCATGCTAATGCAAAAGCTAAACACAGCTAGACGGTAAAAACTAAAGCTCGGAAAGTACCCTGAAACTATTGTATTCCTCTTTCACTTTCAGTTGCACATCCTTCCTATTAGCACGAACATTGATTGGTCCCAAAAACATCCTCAAGAATCCTCCTGCAATCGACCAGATCAAGACCAAAAACGACCAATACAACCTTAAATTTAGGCCACAAATATCAATACATAAATCAAGCAAATAGAAACAATAACAAGGAAGAAAAAACATAATGCATCAGGTTCAAATCTTAGTAAAGGCAAAGAACACTAGGTGATCTCTTCTTATCTGCCTAAGCCTTGGTGGGCAGAGTTACGATCCGTGTATGCTGGTGGGAGGTAGCGGGTAACGGTGGAATAGTCCGGGTGCGCGCAAGCTGTCCCAGACACCACCATCAGAAAATAATAATAGTAATCATAATAAAAAGGGAAA